TTCTGACCAGAAATCATTCTGATACTCAAAGCATCTTTCTCTTTCACCAGAAACATACATACATCTCAAGACTGGGAAGAAATGAGCCATCATGGTTTATCATGATGGTTGAAAATGTGATTATTAGAATTTAACAGTCAATGGAACTCTCTTTACTTCAGTATATCTTGAGCAATACACGACTGGGAGAACAGAATGACTCCAGTGGTGATTACAATTCTGTTTGATTTGTTTTACTGACGTCATTATAAAAGAAACACAACTAAAATTAGCCTTTAGATATAACACAGCTTAAGTAGAAAGGGAAGTTAATTGAAACATACAAGTATATAAAAAATTGTTTAAGTTCAAGTGGCTTGTATCAGAATCCATCTCATATTTAAATAAGATTTTCCCTTGAGGATAGCCAGGGACTGAAATAGAGGTCTTGAGGCCATTGTTGGATGTTTGGTTTGTGTCCTGTCTGTAAGGGTTTGAGGGGGGCTGCTGGGGCAGCTTGTTCGAAGGGGATTTCAGAGCCAAAATTGAAACCTCATCTTTAGGAGCAAAATACACATAGCATCGTTCTTTATTCTCTATTCTTGATACATTTTCAAATACCTGATATGATTAACATATACGTAAAAATAACTCCTGAGACTTGTAGAAAATATAAAAATAAACAAAGTAAAGTATTGAAGGACCCAATATATGTAAAATGAGTAAGACATGAAGAGAACTGAAATATGAAATATTAATGTGTAAAGAATATTTGGATGTGTCTGTTAATTATAGGCACAGCTTGCTACAGTGTAGTATCATATTAGAATAAAGTCCCAATCAATAACAAATGTATAAATAAACACAACTAAGAGACTGGCAGGGGGTGAAATGAACAATCCCCACCCACCCCCTCTTTGAGGCTTGACACAAATTGGCAAATCATGATTTTCGTGAACTTTTTGCCAGTGTTAAAAAATTGTACTAAACAACATGACTTCATCTGTACTTGTCACATTTTAATAGTTTCTTTAGTGGATGTTTTGTATAGTTTAATTTAGGTTTAAGTAAAGGTTATCCTATGTTTTACAAATATCCATCTGTGTTTAGGAATGTTCAACTTCCTTTATTCCAGGGTACAAGGTAGTCATACATATAAAATATAAAACAGTTGACGTCAGATTTTGATGTTTCTTTGAGTTAAGCTTTGCGTCTGTCATATAAAGTGTTTATTGGCAATATAATACATTGATTGTTTGGGAGTATATAGATTGATGCTGTTTGATGTAAAGGTTATTTTGAAACTTAACATTTAGGTAAATAAGGAAATGCCTGTAGACATTGTCATCTCTGTCTGCCAGATAATTGATTCACCTTTGTTAATACAAATCTGTATTGAATGGTTGGGGAAATAACCAAAAGATTTGAAGAAATGATTATAAAAATGGTTGTCAAAAGTGAAAATTGGGACTGTGTTTCTTTGTATATCTCATATATCAGGAAGTTTGAGGAAGAAGGTTGTAAGGTTATTCTCAAAGCAACAAATAATCTCTGAGGCAGTTCAAAATGTCATTGTGGTTATGTTTTGAAATGAGAAATTTGGTGGAAAATGGTGGAATTAGCAAGGAATGAAGGAAACAGGCATGTTGCTAACACTCTAAATTGTTTGGAAATACCTGAAAATCAGGTAGTTCGTTCAAATTTTGGAGAGAAATTACGTCGAGAGCAACAATGATTTTTCAGAACAGGCTTTGACATTAAATATCTGGAAGCATTCCAATGCCGGAACTGTTCCCATAATTCACAAATTCCCTCCTTTTCCTAATAACATATCAGTAAATAGAAAATTAAATTGACAATTTTGACATTTTTGAAAATCCAATGTAGAAGTTCATCAGCATCCAAGCGTATTATATTTCTGTACGATTTCATGTGTGTTGGAATGTTTGCATATATATTATATAGGGTGTCATATTCTAGCTAAGATGGCCACAGAGGAAACAACAAGCTCTCTATCCGACATTCCTTAGGAAACCTGCTAGTTTCTGATTAGCACCAAGCTTCTCAGATTTCCTGCCCTTCAAAGTCTTCATACTCTTTTGGTTTACTATCTACATAATATTGAGATGGCTTTTCCTATCATAGTTGATTCTTTAATAGAAAAAGTTAACCTCAGTGAATTATGCAGTGATATACCTGGATATTGACAAAGGTGCAAAATAGTATTTAGATAAAATCCTGTCAATATAGAAGAAAAAAATTTGACGCTGAAAATTTGGTTCCATTTTTGACAATTGGGCCCTGTTATCCAAATGATACCTGTTTTATAGAAATGGTATCCAATTTGGAAAATTATGCATATTTTGAGAGTCGAGGTCTAAAATATGAATAACTTCACATGTCAAGGCGCAATCTTTTTTTTAGCTCACATGGTGAGCTTTTGCAATCGCTCACTTGTTTTAATTTCTTTTCCTGAATATCTTGACCCATCTTGGCTATCTTCCAAAATATAGTGAATTATGATTCCTGCTTTTTACATTGTAACAATAATATAATGAACAACAGAATGATATTTTCAAGAAACAGTTTCCAGCTTTAATTTATTACCCCTTGTAAACAGTCCAACTCTGCATATAAAGCAGATCATCATACACAAATCTTACTGTTCTCTGGTTTTCAGGGTAAGATTTGTCCTGACTTATGACGATTGACAATGTGCCATCTTTTATCTTAGTTTCCCTATAACTTATAAGTTACCCCCCCCCCTCCCCCTAGGAGTAGACCATGTTGTAAGTAGTAATCTGATTGCAATAAATAATAATCTAACATATATAAACATTGCACATAGCTGGAATTGCTGGGTAGCTAGATAAGATTCTGTGTATGTTGGATTTATATGCCAGGTACCATTGCCTTCTGACTCTATCACATTATGGTAAATGTGTTCTTCTCCCTGACTGGAAAATGTGTGTCCGGTACGTGCCACGTATAAATGCCACGCATTAGACTTATTTGACAGAAGATTTTGATCACCCCAAAGTAAATAGAATAGAATAATGATGGAGAATCATTTCTATATGGGAGCAGTTCACTTCATATGTATCTATGAAAAAACTGGGAAAATATATTAAGCCATTAATGTAGTTCTTGCACTGTTTCATCTTGACCTCCAAACATTTTGAAGTATTTGGGTGATATATAGCCAAAAAACACTGGTTAATGTATGAGAGTTACATCTCTATATCTCATGGCTCTGGCTTGGTGTTTATGCAGACTGTGTGAATGTTTACAGAAAAAATCAATTTAGATATGCTGAGTATCCATTTACATTACAACATATATGCATCTTAGAAATGCTTGAAATACAAATAGTCTTGCTCAAAGACTGTATCCACCCCCCCCCCCCCCATCACCTTCACTCTCTTTACCTGGCAATATAGAGAGAAGGATAAAGGGGGGAAGTACAGGGTCTTTTAAGCAAGACTAAAATACAAACTGTTATGTGTTAAACTGTTGTTTGAAATGGTATTTGAAGACTTGCTTAATGTTGTAGGGTTTTATATTACTTAAGTGGCCGACATTGTGGGGTAATCTAATTTTAGGTTTCAAAGTGGCTGACACCTTGTAAAGCTGGGTTATTGTGGGTCAGAATTAATGCAAGGTGTTTTTCATGTATATACATTAAAACTTATATAAGTAGAGCACCTTCCCCTCTAAAAAGTATTCTACATGTGAGGTGCATTTAACATTAGTTAAGTGTTTTACTTCTGAAGGACAAGGTTCCACTTAAAAAGGTGTTCCATGTTTTTTATATACATTTTCATACATATAAACTTGAACCTACACATACTTACTTTTTCATCTTCATGTGAGGTCTCTTATTTTAATAAAACATATTTTAATGCTTCATTGACTTGCTTGTCACAGACTGGGTCATCTAATCTAAGGTCACTGCACTTAGCTGCTCAGAAACTTGTAATAGATAAAAGAACTGTTAATCAAACAAGGTTAATCATTGAGTAATGTCACTTCAATGTCATTATCCCTTTCCTTTTCATCCTTATCCTAATTGTGAATATAGTCTTGCTTTTGTACCCCTTCCCGATTATAACCTCAAAAAGAAGGCCTGATACAAGAGTACTGTGAACAGCTTGTTAGTGTTTTGTCTGTGCTCTGTTGAGACTGCTGTAGAAATATGATATCTGATGATAACCTTTCTATGGGAGCTTGCTTTGTTAGCAAGATATCTCTACTTACCTGCCCAGCCCTATCCTCATGTATTATGGTATGGTAGATAGTATGTAAGAAAATGCATGGAGTTAAGGATCAACATATTCTCTTTGATTGAATTATTCTTGTGTCAGTTCATTTTTATGGACATTAGGCTATATGAAGTATAATCTTGAAAGTTTATAATGGAGTCTATGTAACTCGGTTCACATATATAATTTTATCAAAAGTGATTAACTAAGTGAAATCATTTAAAGGCAATCGCAGTTGTCCCGGAGATTGGGACCCAATAATTCCATAAAAGTTTATAGGCCTATATTTGAAAGATATTAAAGCTCAGAACATCTCATAAAAGAGGAATAGAATAGCATATCAGGGCAGAAAGCTAGCAGTTACTGTAGTTTCATCTCTTTAATGGTAACCATTCAGATGTCTTATACATAACATCGGCTCCCCCACTTACCATTCTCTTTCTTGGGGGTATTTAAATGTATTTCAAAGGCCCCATATAAAGTTCAAACCATTTCATTTATATTTGAAAATTGGCTGGAAAGTATAATTAAGAAATAAAAAACTTTTTTCATTTTTTTCAAACATCTCTAAGATAACAGATCCATCTGTACTTCTTAATGTGTGGAAGGGTATATGTATTATTTTATCATACTCTGATTTATGTAAGCAAGCAAGTGTTTATTGATGGATATGAGATATTAAATGATTAACCCAGTAAGAATCACGATTAATCGCTTACAACATTTACTAATCAGTATAAATATTTCATGTATTTCCAGGTCAGTGTTACAGCTGTGGTGAAAAGGTAACAGGAACCAGTGATGCATGCCAAGCCATGGGAAACCTTTATCATACCAACTGCTTTGTATGTTGTTCTTGTGGTAAGTCTAGATGCATACATACAGGGTGATCCCAAAAATTGGAAAATTTGGTGAAAAGAGCATGTCTGGATTGAAAACCTGATTTTTCTAAATCTCAAGTCTAGAAGCAATATGAGTGTACCGTATACTGCTGTTTGCCACATTAAATACTCTACAGTGTAATATGAATTCAAGAAGATTCTATTTTGAGAGTTATTCCAAAATTTGAGGGTTGCAATTGTTTTGGGCCAACCTGTACCTTTGTCCTGTTTTCATATTGCTATCTATACTATTTCTATATAACCTAACTGCCTTTGTTGATTTAATATTCATAAAAATAAGACTGTCGAAAATTCATGTATTCACTGGCAGATCTCAATTAAGATATTACTCTCAGTGTGGGACATTTGAGCATTGATATTTTTTCCTAATCTGCATAATATACAGTTAAAGATAAGTCTCACACAAACACTCTGAATTTGAAATAAGGAATCAACTTTATAGATATTAATTCAAATATATTCCATCTCATAGTTGAGAAAAGATGTTTTGATGCAAACGCATACACGCATCTTTATCATTTGAAATTAGAAAATAACTTAAGATTTTTTCAAATGCACAGAATGTTTATTTTCTTAGGATCACAGAAGATACGATTCAATAGTGTTAAAGAATGATATTAGAAATTCAGTTTTACAGATTTTGCTATGTTTGATCATGGAGCCATTGCGCCATCTTTTCTTATACCCTTGCACCAGTCAAAACATGAATGAGCCATATATTTACCACAATGCTTTTCTTCATCATGTGATACTTATGTGTTATTCCAGGGAGGACCCTCCGAGGCAAGGCATTCTATAATGTACATGGGAAGGTTTATTGTGAGGAGGACTATCTCGTAAGTTGATATCTTCATCTGTAAAATTAAGTTCAGTATTCAAAATTGATAAGTTAGTGGATTGATTAAATTTGATTTAAATCCTAATAGATATTTGATGCAAATTTACTTATTCTATTTGATGTAAAGGAAAAAATTAATATTAAATTAGAGAAGTTATAAGTACAGCATACTTCCTCAATGAAAAGTAAATGAAATTTGAGCTTTTAAAATTTACTGTTTTATGCTCTGTAGAACATTTTTCTGACATAACGCACATGTTAATGAAAAACAATATGTCTCCAAAGGATGCATTTATTTAGAGTGTGTCTCAAAGACTCATCTTTCACTTAAAGACTTTCAACAAATTATTGCATTACCTAATATATATTGGTCATTAGATTGTGCCAATTAGTTAATTCAAAAATGAGCAGAGTTTTAGCAAGAGTGTCTCAGGAACCAGTATACTTATAAGCATTTAATACAACGTGAAGAAAGCACCAAGTGAGACGTTGTACAAAAATGGACTTTTGAAAAGCATGAGGAGTTAACTACTATATGTTAACTTAATGCTGTTTATTGTTGATGTTCTTTGGGAAAGCTGGTCAAACCTGGTCAAATTCACTCATTCCACATATCTGTATATCTAATTTTCTTTCAAATAAGTCTTTCAAACCATTTATTATAATATGTTTGATTAACTTTATGCTGCAATCAAAACAAAGCATTTATTTTTTAAAATGATGAATGGTGTCTGTGATGGTCTTGATGACCCACAAGTCATTGTATTCAGTGATCTTTACCCTCGTACCTGTCAGGTGTGTTGGCTTAGACTGATTTATTTACCTTCGTGTTTTCGATATTTATTCATTTTTATTGCTGTGTTTTGAATGCTCAGAACAACACTACTATACTATGTGAAAGTTCAAGGACATATCAGGTACCTCATTGTCAGGAATGGATTCTTTCATATAGAACACAATATTGTGTCTGTCATCAAAACTCCCAGAGTTTCAATTAATGTATCACCGAAAGTTACTTTTCAAAGTCAACATACTATGCAGATATGTTACAGGTTTATCTGATAATAACTAAAATGATCAAATAAAATATTTGTCGGAGGTAAGTGTCACATATGGACGATAGAAGACTTTGTGTGTTCGGAGCTCAACTCAAGGGGGTGTTGTATCCATTGTAAATCTATGTGTAGTATAGGGATAGAGAAGTATACGTTAAGTACACATAAATGTACATGGATTAGATGATTGGGAATTTTGCTCAGCAATTAAGAACATTATGGTAATCAGGATATATATTTTGGACAGCGTCCCAAATATAGTAAAGTGTGAAATCAATGGAATTTGTACACATTTTATAGAGACATTTAATCTCAGTTTGATGTCTCAATAAACCCATCTTCTATGATCAAAGTTAACATATTCAGTTTGATTGCATTAAATTATAAAATGAAACATGGGTGCCGTTTAAGATTTGAAAATATTCAGAAAGGAATCGAGCTAGGAATTCAGATAACCATTTTTTTAAAACAAATGATCAGAAACTGGTGCAGTTCATTCAAAACTTTGAAAGGAGAAGCAGTGAATAGGTGTGACCTTAGAGAAAAGTCACTTGTGTCTTTATTAATAAATTTTCTGCTTGTTGTGTTTCAGTACTCAGGCTTCCAACAAATGGCGGAAAAATGTGCAGTTTGTGGACATCTCATTATGGAAATGGTAGGTGAAACCTGGAATTATGTATTTTGACAGAAAAATGTCCAAATCTTGAGATTTGGTAAAAAATGGGTATTTGCATGAATGGTAGTTTGTATTTAAGGTGAGTGGGATACACTGTCTAGTTAGGGTAGTTCCGGACTTTCACAAAAAACTCTAAAGCTGTGAACAAGTAATTTCACATTTTATCAAAACATTTTAATCTTGAACTCTGAATTCTTTAACCATAACATAAATATCTATATAGAAATAGGAAAAAATGTGACCTATTTCATATAATAATTGATACTTATATCATCATGAAAATTCTATAAAAATTCTCATCATAAGTTAATATATGAGTCATTAAAACTTGTCTACAAAAGCGCATACAAAAGTGTCTAAAACACAAAAGTTGATGGATTTGGTCAAAATATTCAAATATTTCTATGAGTTGATTTTTTTGTGCATGATAATAAATGATTTTATCTTAGCCCTTAAACCATCTATTCACTTTGTTGTCAACACTGAATTCATTCAGGAAAAATATGCATTGACTCCATGGAGATTATTAAGTTGATAAGACTCGCACTTCAGTATTTAAAGTATTTGGAATATGTATTATAAATAGACACTTCATAAAAGATTGTACTGTATACTGTACTGTATTGTATAATACTGTAATGTACTATACTGTACTGTACTGTACTCATAGATACTAGTATTCCGTAATTCCACGGTGTGGACGGAATTTGACAAAACTTCAATTTTTTGCAGAATCCCTGATTTTCATGAAAATCCTGCGGAATTGCCAGAATTTCCAGAAATTACATATTTTACGATCTCCTACCTTTGCGGGGTATTTGAAGAGTGTCTGTTTATGTCCAACAATCAATCATTTTTGAGTACAAGTACGATTTCACCGTGAAATTCAACATTCTATCACGTTTAAATTCGCTAAAGCGAGTTCGCTAATGACGCGCAGTTCTTACCTAGAAAGTAGCTGACTTCCGTTTCCGTTGCTACGTCAATTTTCATCGTTTTAAAAGATTGCAGAATTTGGACTTTTTTGAAAATTTGTGCAGAATTTCGATTTTCTCCTTGCAGAATTTGCTTTTTTCTTGCAGAATTTTTTGCAGAAAACTAGTATCTGTGTGTACTGCACTGTACTTTACTGAAATGTAATATAATTTGTACTGTACTTTGCTGTAAGTAGAACAATATGATTTTATGCAATTTGATTCAGAAAAAAAGAAAATGTGATTCATGTGAAGTCCAAAATGTATTCTAAGTCTCTTGTTTGTAGATTCTACAAGCTATGGGGAAATCCTTCCATCCAGGATGCTTCAGATGCTGCGTGTGCAATGACTGCCTCGATGGTGTCCCGTTTACAATTGATGTAGACAACAAAATATACTGCGTTAAGGATTACCACAAGTATGTATTATCGCTCAGTGGAAATGGAAACTTGAAACATTTTTTGTTTCTTTTATATATCTTGTACCAGTTTTCAGTCTCATACCATGAAGAACATGATGGTGACATTTTGTCATGTCAATTCTTTATCAATTTTTCTTCTTACATCTATATATGTATATTTATGTGGTAGTGTCTCGTAGTGTACTCACCAGATTTATTTGTTTGACCTCATTTTACTATAATGAGTATGAATGTTCAAAATCTGGTGAAAAATGTTCATAATTATGAACTGGGTAGAAATTAATTTTGGACTTGGTTGAAGGGATAAATAAATTAGATGCATTGCCTAGTAGCTTAAATGATAGGGAGATCACAGGAATAGTCTTAAGTAAGTGGGATATCTGAAAGAACATATAGTTTATTTTTACATCATTATGCTTCTGTTTTCTACAACAGTCATGATTGAGATAAAGATATACCACATATATGCTTGTATTATTATGTCATTATGAATAAACTTTTATGTACATGTAGCCTCTCTCAATTTAAGATAAATATTTTCTTTATTTGCATGAGTGTTCATTTTTTCATATTTATACTACATATTTGTATTTTTCAAAATCAATATATCATACATAGCACATCTACCAAGGTTTATATTTAAAATTGATTGTTTGTATACATGTGATGTCTACCAAGTGGACTAATGTGTGTGTTCTGTTTCTCTGTAGACTCTACGCGCCTCGCTGTGCAGCTTGTGGCAAGGCAATAGTCCCAGTGGAGGTAAAGCTTACTGCATCATCCTTACATCATCCTTATGATGACCTGTTGCTCAAATACATTAGAGATTATGAGTCCTGTTTTTCAAATGTCTTTTAAAAAGCATCTATGGCAATATTATAAGGCAGTCAAATTCTTCTTTCGCAATTCATAATCTTGCTTCAAGACCCTGGACCCCCTCCCCCATATCTACTTAACAACAGGTATTAAGTAGAACAACAGGTATTAAGTAGATAATGGGGGTGCAGGGTCTTGAAGCAGGACTAGTAATTCAGGACAATTTGGGAAACAGGTTCAAGACAATCCATGTTACATTGTCCACATTGAAATTTCAAAAACCTCCTTGTGTTTTATACAAAGATGGTTTACTAATAGAAGGTTTACAGTTGAGTTTGTGGGAAATACCATCATGAAATACCCTATTATCGCCCTTATATGTACTGTTCAAAAATCCCCAGAGATTTTGTAATTCAAGGCATCTCAAGGAGAATTTGGGACACACACTGTGCATTTATTAGAATGAATATGGTACCCTTTGTTTTTTCCTTTTTCATGTGGACAATCATGACCATCTTTGTAAGAATGCTTACTGCATGATTGAATAAGATAGTATAATTTAAGTGCATGCTTTTCCTGGATTCCAATTTTCAGTGCATGTTTCTCTTTAACCAATAAATTTCAGTGTTTTGTAAAAAAACAATCTGATTTTTTCTGCCTGATACAAACTATTTCAGTTGCCTTTTCTGAATATGATATGTGACTATTTTCAGTGCATGCTCTTCATGAACATCAGATTTCAGCACATGCTTATCCTGAGCTTTCATTCTCCTTCAAATCAACCTGTTCATCTGTGCAAACATAAGTTCAGGATGTGGATTGTTTAAATCCACATAGATTATCAGAAACTCTTCATAGATAATTGTACAGTATTATAGTATTATTAAGTTAAGTCAATCAGTCCTCTGAGGGCATACTATGTGTTCATGAAAGCAATATACAGTTTATGAATGACTTGTGATACTTATGGATGCATGATAAGCCAGGTTGCTAAAGTCAAATAAAGTGTGAGTTACTCAGAGATCCAAGAATTATACCTCATTTTACACGGGTGTTAAAACACGAATATACCATGAGCACATGCTTTGAGGATCCGCGTTGTTTGAACCTACCGCCGAGCACACTTATACATTAAGACCCGTTACACAGTCATGATACCGCCGTTCAAGCTCATTGCATCATCGGGTCTGCTTTACCCCCGTGATTTTAGGGGGGTTATAACATTGTTACTAACATACCTCATGTTTTAGGGAAGGAGTGGACCTATACTAAACCTCACCCGACCCAACCTCAAGTAAAGAAGTCATAAATTCTTAGACATATAATAGAGGTGACACAAGTCATAAAAATTATATTTTTGAGGACGTTTGATACCTTGTAACTTGTATTTTATGGTATCATCCACTTGAACCTTATCTAGATAGATCTACCTGGAGTGCTGAGTGAAGTGTTGATGGGATGTTTATCTTAAGCTCAAGTGGTCAATACAATGTCACACATAACACTCTTAGCATAAGTGTCCCCTATATAAAATTGCTGTGTTTTTAAATTTCAAATTATTGATATTTTGATTACGTCTCCAAGAAATGTTATTATCCATCTTCTCTCTTCAAGTTAGAGATAATTCTTTGATTTAGCCTGACCCAATCAGAATATGGTCGGTCAATCAAAACCCAGCCATTCAATCAAAATTGCATTTGCTGACTTATATGCTTTCATAATAAGTATATAGATAAGTACTTAGCAATCATTTCATATTGAAACTGCCATTGAAGGCCATGTTAGACATAGAACATGTACATATGCTTGCTGTTGTAGCATTGTTCAATCTATGTTTGAAATATATCATAGATTCGTGAGTCCATGATGGAATATAGTAAAACATTCATAGAGTGGACAACTTGGAGCCACAAAAAGTTTTCATCACATTCTATTAGGTCACCACCCCAACTTTTTGTGGATGTGTTTGCCAGTTGGTGTTTGGTGGTTTGTGTCTTTAACAGATGGCAGGTGGTGTCATTAATACATAGTGTCAATGGAAAATGTTCTGAAAAGGGAATTCGCTATGGACAGTTGTTTACGAAAGAGAGGTGTTCATTTTGACATGTGTTACTGTATATGTAGTATGTACCTTTAAAAATGGGCACAATATGTAATATAATATTCAGTGTGTATTTCTATGATATTGTGAGGAAATCTTGTGTAAAAGGTGTAATATTTCTACTCCAGGGGACAGAGGAGACTGTGAGAGTGGTGTCCATGGACAAAGATTTCCACGTGGACTGCTACCAGTGTGAGGTAAGTTTGAAACCAACATGTACCCATTTATCATGGGAGATGTATGAGTGTGTCCAAAAAGAGTACCAAGAAATGAAATGAACAGTGAGATTGGTGGATCCCTCAAAGTGGACAGAAAAGGCAAAAATCCAGAAGCTTCATTCTGAGCATAGATAACAGAAATGTCTTTATGTGGCTAAATCACAGGTGTGGTTACAGAGTGAAACCTGTGGTAAAGTATAGTGACATATTGATATACAGGGTGTCTATGAAGTTTCCTGACACTTAACTGTCGGTGACTTGTTATTGTAATTGTAAAGAGGCTTCGTGGACACCCTGTATATCATTTTGGTGAGATCAGGATTTAACACAATTAAACCAACATACTGTATGAACATAAGATGTGACACTATATTTGTGCAAATCTGACATGTTGATTTCAATTCACTTAGGAATGGTGTCCAATTATCAAGTCGTGGAAAAACAGAGTTAATTTCATTTTGGTTTGACGAGACCCCTCTCCCATCATCTAACAAAATTCTAAAATATTGCTCCTTACGAAACTAACTTTGTTTTCCCAAAGCTGTTGATAGTTAATTGGACACCATCCCTTGATAAACCAGGATTTTTTAATTTTAGGAATACTACATTCATTTGTTTCATGGTCTAATATATGCCCTGATTGATAGATATATATTGCGCAAGTGGTGACATATTGTTATAGTCTCCAATTTTTCTGGGATGGTGTTTGGCGGTTTATGTTCAGTGGTCAGCATCCATAACAAATTGCAAGTGGTGACATTTTGCATGTTAATGCCTTGTTTCAATATGTTAAAATTTAAATGTACATGTTTTTGCTTACTTATTCTATGCTACTTACTAGATCCTCTTGATTCCAGGATTGTAGTATGCAGTTGACAGATGAGCCTGACAAACGCTGTTACCCATTATTACAATCATTATTGTGCCATGGCTGCCATATAAGGAGAGTAGCTGAAAGTGGCGGGGCTATTGCAAGTCCTCAAATGGCAAACCATGTCGTGGAAAACCATTATGAACCTATTGGACCTGCCCGTCAGGCAATGTTTACCCGTCAATCCACTCCACCCAGGCAAGCATACCAAGCCCCTGGGGCTAAGCCAGAAATACCCCCTAGACAGCAGACTTATGTTACTCCCACACCTCCCCAACCTGAGCCCCCCACACGCCAAGGGGGCTTCCACACCCCTCCCCAGGACCCTAGGAGGACATCTTTATCTGACTCACCGCGCCAAAGTCCAGTGCTTATGTACACAGGTCAAAAACCTGAAGTAGAGCATCGTCAGAGCCCTCTATATAATAACACCAGTAACTACCCTCCACAGACAGCTAATGGATATGCATACACTCCTCACCCCTCTACAGATCCAAAATACCAAATCACAGATCTCTAGTCTTAGGATAACATTTAAAGGGTGATATTTAAGGAGATTTTATGGACAGCCCCTCTCACAGCCATTTTTAGGGGGATGTAAAATGTTTGAATAATTATAAATCTACAGAGACCAGTTTGTTGTTGTTATACACAAAAAGCATACAAAAATCATAGAGAGTATCTACAGAAATTGACAATCAAACAATTTTCATATTTTCATGTACAATGTATGTATCATGACATAGTATGTTTTGGTCAGATAGAATCTGTGTATGCTGTTGCATTGTAGCCCACTTGATATGGTGCTAGATTTATAGTAACATATTTCTGTGTAATTGTATTGTTAGAATATACACCATAGAAAGTGTATGTATTGTTGGTGGATGACAGATATGTCACCCTACACCTCCAATCTACTTGTATTATTTTGACCCAGTTTTGAAACCAAATTTCGATGTTCTGGCACCATTTTTAAATGATATGATGTGTTGAAAATAGTAGAAAAGTTGTAGTTCTCCAAATGGTGTCGAATAGACACAAGACATAGGCGTAGCCAGGGGGGTGCGAAGTGTGCAATCGCACCCCCCCCTGACTGGGGGGTGACTGGCTACGCCAAAGTCATTTATATTGACTGGCCTGTAGGTGAACATGAGAAATGTTTCAGTTGTGATATGTGGAAAATGTATTTGATGTTGTAAACATTGTTAAAACTAAGTACTTGTATAAATGATTTTAGTGAAGAATAGTAGAAAAAACTTAATCAAAATTAAGTGTACTTTTAAATGAGCTTTTGAGGTTGCTTCAAAAACAATTAAATTGGATTGGTTGACCACTCTGTTTCAATCTGTCCTCCCCATAAAGCATAGGTTTACCTAGCCCTAACATCATCTCCCTTTAGAAAATGCTGGAAATGTTGGGTTTTGACAGAAAAAGCATTTTGAATATTAAGGATAGAATGAAAATTAGATATTTTCTTGATTTATGAAATAAATTCTGTGGTATTTTGACAAACTTGACCAAAATACCATAAAATCGAGAAGTGATCTCGATGGAAGGATTCCATTATTAACCTTTTATATAGAAAATCCCGCATTGGAAATAAGCCATTCACAGAGATGATCAGAGCAAAATTGAGATAAATTGATACATTTGAAGAATGAAAATCTTTGTTATATGATATCCTTTGTTTGAATATTTTGTTTATGTGATTTTTTGTTTATTTTATATACAGTGCTGTATGTTGTAGAAACTTCTAGTGGCTAACTATACACAATCTAAATACTGTTAAAGCTTTGAAACATGTCCATTTAGACCTGTTTTTTTTTAAAAAATGAATTATTGAATTTAAAGAGGATAGATACTTTCTCACAATTATTCTCTTTGTAAATGTATTTACTTGCCAACTTGAATAAAATTTGTTAATTTATTTACAAAGTCTTGTACTCAAAGTACATGAACTGCTAACCTAATTCTAGAAATATAAAAATCAGATTTGAAATTTTGTACTTATGTCATCATCAGAAGTGGACAGCGTTCAGTGGTTGGTGTTTGGCAGTTGGTGTTCAGCATCTGTAACAAATGGCAGATGATGTTTTGCATGTTAATGCCTTGTCTTTATATTAGTTTTGTCTTATTTTACATTGAAAATCATGACCAATGTCAAAGAAGCATATTGGTTCAAATAATTTCAGCATTTCAATGTTTTTATTTTAAGTATAATGTCATTATTATGTAAATATATACATACATGTACTATATTCTGTATCGCAATAAATTACAATTTTTGAGAAAAAACAAATGTTCATTTTTGATGTGTTGGAGTGAAATAAATAGAAGTAAATACATTGATCCACAGCAACGGGAGTTAATTTCATCTATAATGGTAGACAAATCTGTTTGATAAACCTGCAATTTTTATTATGTATTTTGGTTATTTTTGAGGCTCACTTTAGAAATATTTGGAATCCAGATTTTACTTAGTTTAGCTTAAATTGAAGGTTATCAATATCAAACTTTGTTCACCATTTTGGATTTTCATCCTTCCGTAGTGAAATATAAGGGTTCTAAAGAATTCATTTCTGAAGTGGATTAGTACCAAAATTGAAAGTAAGTTCTACGAAAAATATTTATGCAATAATAGAACCACTCAAGCCAAAATGTTGTACTTTCATAATATAATTTGCCAGTGATATTTCATTCAGAATTTTCATTGCATATAATACAAATATGCATTGCTTATAAAACTAAGAAATCCAGGACCAAAAGTCCATTTCTGAAGGTGAAGTGGGACTTTTTGGACCATATTTAGTGCCAGCCCTAGCATAGTGCCTTTAAGTATGACTTGACAGTTGTTTTAAACACATTAATTTCAGCTTATTTCTATTAAAATTGTTCAGGGGTTGAAAGAGATCTAAGAAAACTTATATAAAGATGTATGTGTACCTTATGCCAGAAAAAAAGTTCACTCTTCCAGGTCAAACTAACTCTTATGCCTTGGTCACATTTACTCCGATTTTCACAATGGCTCCTGGCCAGTTGAGTATTATATTCAAAACTGAATACAATTTTGAACAAAATACCCAATCGGCCAGGCACCGGCTGATGAATCGGAGAAAATATACCAAGGCATTACTAAAATTAAGAAAGATCAGTTCAGAATGGATTGATGCGCTATTATTAAGATCTAGACAAACAGTGACTCAAATCAATTCACAAGGGCAATACTCTATTCTTGTGTACACTGTATATCAGATGTCTCCCTATTTTAACATCAAATGGAGAAGGCCTCGATTGTTCAAAATAGGTACAATTCCTTAATTAGAATAAATAATTATAATCTATTTATTTCTCAAATATAAATAAAAGTTAGAACTTTAAGGATATGAAATTGGGCATTACACAAGTCAAAAGGTGAGAGCAAAAAATATTAAATATAAGTCTCAAGAGGGTGCAGGTCATATTTCCAAATTTTAAGCCAAACATAGCCTTGCCCAAGTCGGTATTTTTTTTACTTATCTGATCTTGAATTATAGAAATCAAGATAAGTAAAAGAGACCGACTTGGGCAAGGCTAAGCCAAACATGAAATCCTCAGATACCTAATTTTAGACATTTGGCTGAACAAATTTATATAATCTCAAATGATACAAAGTCGGTATTTTGGCTGTTTGGTTCTTTGACAAAAAGGCTAAAATGCTTGATTCTCCAAAATTGGCAAATTCCTGAGTACATGTTAGCACGCGGTACTAACTTCGATCGTTAATTTGAATTTTTGACTTACTGGATGTTTGAAAACCAAGGATTGCGAGTCTCATACAGCACCGTTTTTATTCTTCAAACTTATACCATTAAAAGCAAAACAAAATTGCCTTTCTGTCGGTGCATTACTTTATTGTAAAGAGTTCCTCGTTCTAGCAGTGTTTTGGTCCCCAGCTGTTAGGCCTTCTTACAGCTGGGGACCAAAATGCCTCTGGAAGTAGGGACTCTGTTTAGAAGAATAATGTAACAACAGAAAGGGATTTTTGTTATGCTTTGAATGGAACAAGTTTGAAGAAAAACGGTGCATAAGGAGACTCGTAATCCTTGATTTTCAAACATCCGGTAGGTCAAAAATTCAAATTAACGGTCGATGTTAGTACCGCGTGGTTAGGGGTTTTAGACCAACATTCTAAGATTTATGCCACAATTCACTGTTAAAAAACCTCCATTTCGGTCTTTGGCAATGTCTATAATAAAATTTGAGGTTATATATGTATTTGCCATAAATCATAGAATCAAGGTCTTTGTTATGATTCTCATATGATATCCAAATTAGAAAAACAACTATTTGCATTTTTGCAATTTTCTGGTCGTATATAGTATTATAGACCAATAAATCAATTGTTATAGTTATAGTGAAGTCACATATCATATCAGATTTATAAATAAAGCAACAAATGTTAAAATTCTATATAGTTTTATTTCAATGTAATAACAATGCCTTACAGGGGACAACATTGAACATTACTGCTAAGTCTGAACACTACACTACTCAGTTGTCATGATAACCAGAATGTGGTAGCCATTTTGTAGATGGCTATACCTGTACCTGGTGACCATAATCTTAAAGAGGTCCAAACAAGACCAGTGAAGCATACAAATATGGGACGCTCTGTCTGACAATACCTAGGCCTTAAGAAATAATACACAAACTTGTGGAAAATTGTACTGTATACTATAATATTTATAGTAGTTACTACGTGAAGTTGATAATGTACAAAGGAGGTCTACTCAGCCCAAGCAGCATCACAATGGTGCTTGATTGGTTAATTTTGAACCAATCAAATCACTCAAGCAAATATAGGCTCCTGATTGGTTTAAGTTGAGAGTGGGGATCTCAGCTTTCCAAACAGAAGACAGGACCAACAAGCCAGATGGATTCCTGGTTCAAAAGTGGGGATTTTGAGCCAGGATGCTGATGGTGTTTGGAACGTAATGCTGCATGCTGGGTAATTTATAAGGCTACTAACATACACTACTCATTTAGCCATATATAGGACAATACTCTACCAGTGTACATGATATAATTCGACAATGCTATAACACTGTCTCCCAATATACACAATGTCATATACATTTAACTTAAGATGTAAAAGTCATATAGCTGAATTGTTCTGAGATATACAATATCTTATATAATATTAAACACATAGAATTCTGCCAAACATGATTATGAGATTCTATTCCTTCCGTGGCCGAACACACCCTCAATAGGGGGGATGTGTGCCAGATTGCACAGCCCGGTGTATTAAATCAATGTGGGTGGGGACCACAAAGATTAATACACCCAATCAAACCCAGTCACCCGCGCTACATGTTTGTGAGCACTGTGAGCCAATTTTCCTCATACATTTCCCATAATGCAATAAAATTGATCATGCAGACGACAGTGTGTGGTTCTTAGCTTTCCTACTATAAGGCGCCACTGCTGCCACACCATCTGCTTCAGTATTTCATACATTGCACAATAAATACTCAATAGCGTATATGAAGATAAATTGAGAAATTGCTTGGTTGCTGACAGCTAGCTAAGCAGGCTGCATATTTCTACGGTGATTCCCTAAAGAACTTATGTACAATGGACATCTAAACACGCCACACCAGCTTTTTTGTTATACACCAGTCGTCGCAACCAATTCTCTTAGTGAAAAAATCTCGTGGAAGATCACAAGTTGTCAGTGACGACGTCACCCCGCACAGACTTGTAACTGCGAGTCAAAACCACCATTTCAAACAACTACAATATATTACATTCTTATTTGCTCATCGCTCTATATTGTTTCAGTATACAATAGAGATATCAACTACAGTCATTTTTCCAAGTAAACTCTCTCTATTAAGTGTTGGTATTCTAAAATGTATAAACTTGGCAAGTCCATAGTCAATAACTCCAATGTGTATTATTGAGAACTCTACTGTAGTATTTACTGGAAATTGAAAAGCCCTCCTAGATGCAGTTATGTTGAGACAACCTTATAGATGGCAGCACCTAAACTGGAGTGGGGTTCTAGTTGGTTGAGTGCTGACATCTATATGATATCCTAATAATCCTAAAATCTTACTCAATTCTGATCTCAAGTGAATCCTTGTATTTTGCTCAATGAATCTCGTTTTTTCTCAACTTGTTGTTTGTATTTTTCATGCATCAGGGCTGAACTGGGACTTTTTAAATTATACAGATTCCTGGCCAATTTGGAAACATCCCTAGCCCCGGACTCTGTATATATAGCATATATGTAGCGCTAAATAAAGACGCTTATACAAAACAGGCCTATATATGTTTATTATATATAGTAAATGGCCCCATGAAAATGTATCAAACAAATTACACATATATCCAAAATACAGCATTTCAAGCGTATATGTTGCAAAGAATAGACTCTAAAAGACTTGAGTTGAAAATGAGGAGCAGTTTTCTTTTACACCTAAAATGTTTTCGAGAGGTTTACATGAATTTTGTCTATTCACTGCCCCTATCTAATAATGTATTGCACAGTACACTCTTACATTAACATATTGCAACTTCCCCTATTTGAAGCCAGCTATATAAAAACATTCGAATATTATGACAATGAATTGTAATAAGTTAAGTGATGAAGTAAAAACAGAGTTGGATGAGATGAAAATTTGGAAGGTGTTCTTCCTAGCTACCTCCTTTTTTGGAGAATAAGAGAGACTAGAGTGTGTTCCTAGCACACAGTCCTATTCCTGGTACAGCCTGGGGCGGCCTTAATACTGTTGCTTAAAACAGTCAAGTATTCTACATTCACTATAACTTACTGTGAATTCTGGGACTAGTTTTCAATGCCTACTATTAAATTGTAGAAGTCTTTCCAAATATTTCAAAATGATCACAGAAGTATATGTCTTTCCAAATATTTCGAAATGATCACAGAAATATAGGCTTTTCTCAAGAAAATTTTGAATAGGGGGTTGTATACATATTTCATGTGTTTCTACAACATTTCACAATTCCCCTCATCTTCATGGTATTTCATGAGAAAGGCTTTTAAACCATCATGCCGTGAAATATGCAAGGATTTGCCCCCAGGCCATGCTGTTCTGAAATCACAAGGTCAAGCTGTGCTCTACAGTGTTGCACAACTCTTGACGCATCTCGCGTAAGGGATACACTAAGCATGATGGGAAGGGGAAATCAGTAAAGTCCGCAACCTCTTAAATTGTTAGCAATTATGACGTCAGTGACGGCATCAAAGACGAACTGAATATTATTTGTATCTGTTGCACACGTTTGGTGACAATAGATCTCTTTTGTCGTACTTTTGTTTTTCGCCTCAAACTGTGCTTGGATGTACGCTGCAGCGTCTTCATAGGTCTGTTTGCCTGGAAAAACAAGAATGATGTCTTATTAAATGCTGAAGATATAGGACCTGGGACTATGGTTGAATATATGTTTGCCACAGCATACTTATTGTGTAAAGGACGTAACCAGGTTTCAAGACTTTCGCCAAGAGCTAAAAGTGACTCTTGCTATGAGGTACTGGCTTATTATTGGAGAGGTTAAGCTAACGATGTTTTTCACAACGTAACCGTGAACGCAAAGTACAAAAATTAACAAAGGAATGTATCGAGCGCTCATAGTTTTATGCGCGCTTAGTCTACTTCAGATACTCTTTCAGCTTCAGAGTTTCGGGTTTAGAACGGGAGATTTGAATATTTGACGTTGGGTCAACGGGAACCATTTTACTTGTGTCTATTGAACACTATGCTGTCAATTTTGATTTCGATGCACAGTTGAATTCTTGCTGAACACGATGATGTATGTCTTGCATGATTTAGCGCCAAAAATCTTACGAAACGAGCTCGTTTAAAATATGTATTAGAAAACCAGCTATAAAACCGCATCAATGACATACTATAGAATCATTACACGCTATGGTGTAGTCTAAACAAACACTGGATTTGAACGGCTATTTATATGAGAAGGCTACATGAATTTGTATATGGTCGAGTGATACGTACAGGTTCAGTTTCGATTATATATGCAAAGCTTAACCTCTCCATTAATTGTTTAAGTCTGAACACGTTAAGATAAAATATTCAATGCATAGGGTACATTGACAAGAACGAACAGTTCATTGATGAGTGGTTAGGTCATCATTTCCTCAGTTTTCAAACAGTTTTCTTAGCTTATAAGAATCTAGCACAGGTTACTCCACAGTAACACAACATCTCATACATCAATTGCATTCAATCCATATTGTATACAGCAACCAAACTGACCAAAACTGAACATTTTGCATAGACATAAAATACACCTTGCAAAGACATAAAATACATCTTGCATAGACATAAAATACATCTTGCATAGACATAAAATACATCTTGCATAGACATAAAATACATCTTGTAAAGACATAAAATACATCTTGCAAAGACATAAAATACATCTTGCATAGACATAAAATACATCTTGCACAGACATAAAATACATCTTGCAAAGACATAAAATACATCTTGTATAGACATAAAAAACATCTTGCATAGACATAAAATACATCTTGCAAAGACATAAAATACATCTTGCAAAGACATAAAATACATCTTGCAAAGACATAAAATACATCTTGCACAGACATAAAATACATCTTGCATAGACATAAAATACATCTTGCATAGACATAAAATACATCTTGTATAGACATAAAATACATCTTGCATAGACATAAAATACATTTTGCATAGACATAAAATACATCTTGCACAGACATAAAATACATCTTGCATAGACATAAAATACATCTTGCATAGACATAAAATACATTTTGCATAGACATAAAATACATCTTGCATAGACATAAAATACATCTTGTATAGACATAAAAAACATCTTGCATAGACATAAAATACATCTTGCAAAGACATAAAATACATCTTGCATAGACATAAAATACATCATTCTTGCATGGACATAAAATACATCTTGCATAGACATAAAATACATCTTGCAAAGACATAAAATACATCTTGCATAGACATAAAATACATCTTGCAAAGACATAAAATACATCTTGCATAGACATAAAATACATCATTCTTGCATGGACATAAAATACATCTTGCATAGACATAAAATACATCTTGCACAGACATAAAATACATCTTGCATAGACATAAAATACATCTTGCATAGACATAAAATACATCTTGTATAGACATAAAAAACATCTTGCATAGACATAAAATACATCTTGCAAAGACATAAAATACATCTTGTATAGACATAAAAAACATCTTGCACAGACATAAAATACATCTTGCAAAGACATAAAATACATCTTGCAAAGACATAAAATACATCTTGCAAAGACATAAAATACATCTTGCAAAGACATAAAATACATCTTGCACAGACATAAAATACATCTTGCATAGACATAAAATACATCTTGCATAGACATAAAATACATCTTGTATAGACATAAAAAACATCTTGCATAGACATAAAATACATCTTGCAAAGACATAAAATACATCTTGCATAGACATAAAATACATCATTCTTGCATGGACATAAAATACATCTTGCATAGACATAAAATACATCTTGCAAAGACATAAAATACATCTTGCATAGACATAAAATACATCTTGCAAAGACATAAAATACATCTTGCATAGACATAAAATACATCATTCTTGCATGGACATAAAATACATCTTGCATAGACATAAAATACATCTTGCATAGACATAAAATACATCTTGCATAGACATAAAATACATTTTGCATAGACATAAAATACATCTTGTATAGACATAAAATACATCTTGTATAGACATAAAATACATCTTGCATAGACATAAAATACATTTTGCATAGACATAAAATACATCTTGTATAGACATAAAATACATCTTGCATAGACATAAAATACATCTTGCATAGACATAAAATACATCTTGTATAGACATAAAATACATCTTGCATAGACATAAAATACATCTTGCATAGACATAAAATACATCTTGCATAGACATAAAATACATCTTGCATAGACATAAAATACATCTTGTATAGACATAAAATACATCTTGCATAGACATAAAATACATCTTGCATAGACATAAAATACATCTTGCATAGACATAAAATACATCTTGCATAGACATAAAATACACCTTGCAAAGACATAAAATACATCTTGCATAGACATAAAATACATCTTGCATAGACATAAAATACATCTTGCATAGACACAAAATACATCTTGCATAGACATAAAATACATCTTGCATAGACATAAAATACATATTGCATAGACATAAAATACATCTTGCATAGACATAAAATACACCTTGCATAGACATAAAATACATCTTGCAAATGCATAATATACATCTAGCTTAGACAGGAAATATATTTTGGAAAGACATAAAACATATCTTGTATCAACATTAAATTCATAACACATAAAATACATCTTACAAAAAATAATCTTGAAGACATAAAATACATCTTACTAATGCATAATACACATCTTCTCAACACACACTGTGCATCTTGCAGACGTAATATACATCTTGCTTAGACATAAATATGAAAAATAAAGAAAAATGTAGGCTTTCTTTATTTTCATTCATATGCCATGATTGAGTTTCATGATTCTAATTAGAGGCTTGTGTAGGTATCAATTAACTGTTTATGATTCTGCAGAATTAAACATTTGGGTGCATTTCATCTGGATGTGATAATCAGCTAGCCTCTTGAGTACAGAAAATCAACATTTTTCAAAGCTAAATGTACATACATCTGAATTTCGGAGAAAATTCAAATCAAAATAATGTAAAACTAAACAACATTTTCTTCATCATAGACATACCTGTATATTCTTGAAAACAAATAGTTAGGGGTGACTTTTTAATCTTCTCTTCAAATAAATCTTTCTTGTTTAGGAAGAGGATTATAGAAGTATCAGTGAACCACTTGTTATTACAGATCGAGTCAAATAGCTTTAGACTTTCTTGCATGCGGTTCTGAAAATAAAAAATAAACAAGTATTTATCACAATTGCTCTTTGCTTTATTTCACCTGCACTGAAAATTATATATATTTTTTAAATCTCATCATTCTGGACCAATGCACAAGATTAGCATATGTGATCTGAAATTTTCCCATTAAACAGTGAAACCTGTAAAGTGGAACACCTCCAGAAGTGGAACACCCCTGTTAGTGAAACACATTTCTGAGCCCCAAAACCAACTGACTTAATGTTACATGAACCTCTATAAATGGAACCCCTCCCAAGTGGAACTCTTTTTCCAAAGGTGTTCCACAGGTTTTACTGTACAGGGTGTTCCAAAAGTAACAGGACTCGTGCTGGCATTTTGTCAATTCTGCACCGATTGTCTTCATATTTTCACAAATTGTACTTTGAAGTATTGCAACTAAAATTCTTAAGTTTCAGAAAAAATGATAAAATGTGTGTAGAGTTATGGTTACTATAGTAACATGACTTCACAATACCCGGGCCACTTTTTCATGAAAATGTGATATCTAACATTTTTGTATTACTAAGGAAAGTATCTAATTCACCTATTACAGTACAACATTTTTTGTTTGTTTTATTAGTTGCTTTGTTGTTATGGTGTTGCTATACAACTCATATTCAAGTATGATTTCATTATAATAATATTTATTTAATTTCCTGGAATATCACTAGGTATAACAGTCTATACAATTCACGATTGAGTTTTCGAAAAGACCCAATTTGAAGCCAGTCATCCACCTTAATAACCCGCCTGCCTGTAAGTCAGCATTAAAGACCACTGCAGCTATAGAGGAGCCAGGTCTTGAGGTCTAAGACCATGCACCATACTCTTCTCATCATGCAATATCTATTTTTTATTATTTTTATGGAGAATGGAATGCTAATCAGTGGGGTAAGACCTTTAAAGATGAGAATGACCTTCTCCAAGTTGTCCAATCGACCCTGCGATGTCCTTAAATGGGTTCATTCATGTGTTTGAGTTATGTATACAGAGTGCTACTCTTGTACTGACCAAATAGGAGCCTACTTTTCAAAGTAGAGGGTACCAAGGAATATCAAATGATGTAAAGCAATTGCAATTTCCACCAGTTGTTGCATTTCAACTTTGATATAGGATGTACAAATTGCTTAAAGTCTGTGAAACTTTCTGCCTGGAATTTTGCCCCGGGTATTGTGATGTCATGTTACCATAGCAACCATAACTTTACCCCAGTTTTATAATCTTTGTCTAAACTTTGCAGTTTTAGTGACAATACATGAAAGGACATTATGTAAAATTTTAAAGACAATTGGTCCATATTTAACAAAAATCAGCACCAGTCCTGTTAATTTTGGAACACCCTGTATGTGCTTTTGACAGTTGCCTTGCCAACAGACAATATGTGTAATTTAAATTGGTGAAATAATCAGAATTTATGTTTTGAAAAGATGTTTTTTTGTTTTTAGGCTAAGTTCCTTGACTTAAGAAAAGAGTTCAATTATATATAAAACTTCAGAGCAGTGAATCCAACAAAAGTTCTGACATGCATGTATCTTAAACAATTAGCATATTGCTATAATGAAAATGCGATATAATTTGCATTCATAGACAGTTCATTCATTTCTTTATAACAAGGCCCATTTATGAGAGGACAAAACATAAGTGATAACGTATTTCAACGTTTAAACATCAACAAATGTTCAATTTCATTAAGGTGGGGAGGAGGTATTAAACAATATTTCAGGATATCAAAATAATATATAGTTGACCTTGTCCCTCAAATGGCTCACATTTAATCCATGTTATTTCCATGAAAGAATGTGCAATATACTGTCATATTTATCTATGATTTCTTTATCATTATATAATTCCAGCCCTGACTAAGTATCTGCCTGTTAATCCCCTTATGAATCAAATGAGTGATCAACATTTCCTGGTCATCCCAAGGAGGGTTGGCTCCCAGAGTGCAACATCGATTTTCTGTCCCATATATGGGAATGTTGTGCTACAAAATTTGAATTCATGCAGCCGCCATTTTGTTCACTTCAACATTTGAATCGTGAATTTTGGTCTTATTTCCTCATGAAAAATTCCAAAACTCACAAGAAATGATCGAGATATTGGTTCGAATCTTTTTATTTTGCACTGTTTGCACTTTATTTTGCATTTATAACCGGATATAATTTCAGAAAATAACGACATTTTGTCGTTTTCATTATTGGAAAATATCAACTTTGATTCTGGGAGTCAATCCTCCTAGTGGTCATCCTAACCCCCCCCCCCTCCCCCCCTGTGCAAAATCTCTATATTATGTGCTTTGTTCTACTTATTGAGAATCTCTTGATCAATATGTATCTTACATTAACAATTTTCAGTAATATAAGAAAAATCCTGGTTAGCTGTCTCTGTGAAAATCCTCTTTTGTTAAATGTAAGATACATCTGTAGAGGCCTAAGTTGCAAGATTTCAAAAAAAAAATTTGTAGTTCATGACATTAACATATAGGGAATCACTCAAAAGCAGTGTTTTTGTAATGAAAGCACTGCACATTGAGGGAACGTAACTTCAATGTTCAAGAAGATGAACACACAAGATGAGGGATGATAGTAGACTTTGTAGAGAATCAGCTTCAAATACAAACATCAAAATTTGACCCATGAGTCCCGCACTTACAGTAGTTTCATCCTCATGTAGAACTTGGTCATATTCACTCATCGCTACACAGAATATAATGGCTGTTACATCTTCAAAGCAATGTATCCATTTTTTACGTTCTGATCTCTGGCCTCCTACATCAAATAATCTGTAATTATACAATCAGAAACATATCAAGATTTTACAATAATGTACAATAAAAAATAACATTTTACGATATGAGTTTAAGTGTATAATTTTACAATAGTATGGAAGAGTAAGTCAAATATTTGAGGTTTTACAATGTGCTCCCAAGTATATATAAAATCATTTTGTATTCTTAGTACACAGGATTCTCACCAGTAAAGTTTTAGAACCTGGAGGCAAAACTCGCCATTCGTGCAACTACGAGCTACTAAAAAAATTGCAGATTTTTCAGACATTTTTTGGAAAAATAAGAATCTTAATGATAAGTAAACACTTAATCTTATGTTTTGAGTGGTCGTAGATTAATAACTGAAGTGAAAGAGGAAGATATGAAATCAAAAAAGAATCTGGTGCAATTCATAGGCTAGAAAATGACGCAGTCAGGTTTGAACATGAGAGATAATGGTGCTGCGCAAAGTTCCAAAAGCCTTGTGAGAACCCTGGTACATGTGCTATAAATACTTGCATAACAGTGACATTGTGTAACTACAACTTCCACTTATTATAGCCCAAAAAAGAACATAATTGAGACCTCATTATGGTTGTATTTTTGAATCCAAGGTAACATGTTTCTTAATATCACTTACTGAAATTCAAATTCACACATAGCTTTCATAAGACACAATTGTGATAAGTAGCCTCTATTTTTGCCTTGTGTTGTACTGTTAGAAAAGTAAATTGGTTAATTTACAATGATTTCAATATATTTATAGATCTTCATAAATATTCAGGTATGTAAGATGTGTATGGAAGAATATATATATCTATACCACTGTAAGTCCGATTACAGTTGTATAACATGGGTCTATAACAACGATATACAGTGGAGAGTGGTATATCGTCATCGTATACAACTCCTCCGTATACACTCCAGCGTATACCACTGTAGAAGTGCATTCTAGGAACTAATGAATATTGACCGAAGAACGAGGTGAATGTTTTGTTACATACGATTTCCTAGAATCAAGTGACGTCATAAATGGTTCCCACATGATTTGCTAGAATCAAGTGACGTCATAAATGGATCGAGATCAAAATCGGCATTACTGAGTTGGCTATGGGATATTTTTATGGTTTTTATAATGTTATGATTGTGTTTGAATCAACTGTAATTGAACTTAGAGTGGCATAATAAGATTATATAATGGTTCATTCTGTATATCGTGCATTTTATACTCTCGTGAGAATATAATATATTCACTCGTTCGCTACGCTCACTTGTGAATATATTATATACTCACTCGAGTATAAACACGATATACAGAATGAACCATTATATAACCTCATAATATATATATAATATATATGTTCTGTAATCTGTATGTATGTGTGTATAGGGCATAAATTATGAATGTATCCAGTCCAGATGGCTTAATTGGGTAAGCGCTCTCTGCACTGTACTTATGCACAGAAACTAACTAGTGATCTACAACTCATAAAAAGGTTATTCTTTGAACACTTCAGGTTTGCTCTATCCATCACATTATTAATAGCCCGACTAGCTTTATAAGTTATGCACTTCTGGATTGTTCATAGATTTTGAAACTTAAGATTTTACAAGAAATTATGGTACAAGAATATCAATATAGACCCTGTTGATTTGCGTATTTTACATCAGACTACAATGTGGGAGAGTTGAATACTTTAGACTTCAGCACAACACCAGAGTTTATAGTCGACTAGTGGGAACACTACATACATTATGCTCTGCTTTTGCATTGGTTTGCATTCTGATCTGATATTTCCAGTGTGGGAGCGTTAAATACTTAAGATTTCAGCACAACACCAGAGTTTATAGTCGACTAGTGGGAACACTACATACATTATGCTCTGCTTTTGCATTGGTTTGCATTCTGATCTGATATTTCCATAGTGAAGTCAAAGCGATAGTGACATAACTCTAGCTATAACTTTGCCAGCACAGGAATATATAAACACCTACGCGAATCTCGGTATCACACTGACTGAATTTTGATGCACTGCTACGATTGATAAGTTCAATGAACTTGTAAATATTTACATCCATCCACTATCAAAATATGGCAAGTTGTTAACAAATACTCCACATAAAGTCTACAAATCATGAGCTCAAGTTTCAAAATAAAACATTTCTCAATTTCTTCAAGAATTCACACAAGTTCCTCTTCATGGTAACAGTTAATGAATTGATATTTTACTGATTTTAAAACAAGAGTTGTTGAAAGTTTTTAAGTTTAAATTTGGATAATACTCTATTATGGAAGAATTCAATTCAAAAATGTTCCAGGGTAGAAAGCATCCTTAAAAGACCAAGAAAAAAGTTCCATAATGTAAAAGCGAATATCTTAATCAAGCTTACGATAGACAAAACATTGATCCAGCTCTAGATGAAGTCACAGAGATGACAAACATATTTGGACATTCAATAGCAAGTTTTTATTTATCTTGGCCAGAATGTCAAACGTGTTCTCAATTCCTTTTTCCGTGCTCTGTCAATCCCCTGGATTACATCCAAGAAAGGTGACAATAGTTTAGGTTGGTCTGAACTTTCCGAGAAATCTATTGTTTTACTATATCATAAACAAACACTGTGGGGGGTCTATGAAATAAAGGGAAGAGCTCTAGTGTAAAAGGTATAACTTCAGGTACCTTTGAACGCCCCTGCATATACCTAAACAGCACGGTAATAGGGTACACAATACAGACTAACCTGGTCAAATATTCAACTTCAGATGAGCTGATATCTTATTTTGTCCATATGAACATGCGAAAATAATCAACTAAGGATATTTACAATTACTGGCTCCAGGTCTATGCTTTATGTCAGACACAGTGTACTCAGGCCCTCGATGTGCTATGTATGACACACAGTGTAACACATATGTGCTATGTATGACACATTGTGTAACATGTATGTGCTATGTATGACACACTGTGTAACATATATGTGCTATGTATGCCACACTGTTTAACATGTATGTGCTATGTATGACAACTGTGTAACACATATGTGCTATGTATGACACATTGTGTAACACATATGTGCTATGTATGACACACTGTGTAACATGTATGTGCAATGTATGACACAATGTGTAACACGTATGTGCTATGTATGACACATTGTGTAACATGTATGTGCTATGTATGACACACTGTGTAACACGTATGTGCTATGTATGACACATTGTGTAACATGTATGTGCTATGTATGACACACTGTGTAACACGTATGTGCTATGTATGACACACTGTGTAACATGTATGTGCTATGTATGACACACTGTGTAACACATATGTGCACTCTGTAACATGTATGTGCAATGTATGACACACTGTGTAACACATATGTGCAATGTATGACACAATGTATAACACGTATGTGCTATGTATGACACATTGTGTAACATGTATGTGCTATGTATGACACACTGTGTAACACATATGTGCTATGTATGACACACTGTGTAACACATATGTGCAATGTATGACACACTGTGTAACACATATGTGCTACGTATGACACACTGTGTAACATGTATGTGCTATGTATGACAACTGTGTAACACATATGTGCTATGTATGACACATTGTGTAACACATATGTGCTATGTATGACACACTGTGTAACATGTATGTGCTATGTATGACACATTGTGTAACACATATGTGCTATGTATGACACACTGTGTAACATGTATGTGCACTCTGTAACATGTATGTGCAATGTATGACACAATGTATAACACGTATGTGCTATGTATGACACAATGTGTAACACATATGTGCTACGTATGACACACTGTGTAACACATATGTGCTATGTATGACACATTGTGTAACACATATGTGCTATGTATGACACACTGTGTAACATGTATGTGCAATGTATGACACAATGTGTAACACGTATGTGCTATGTATGACACATTGTGTAACATGTATGTGCTATGTATGACACACTGTGTAACACGTATGTGCTATGTATGACACATTGTGTAACATGTATGTGCTATGTATGACACACTGTGTAACACGTATGTGCTATGTATGACACACTGTGTAACATGTATGTGCTATGTATGACACACTGTGTAACACATATGTGCACTCTGTAACACATATGTGCTATGTATGACACATTGTGTAACACATATGTGCTATGTATGACACACTGTGTAACACATATGTGCAATGTATGACACAATGTATAACACGTATGTGCTATGTATGACACATTGTGTAACATGTATGTGCTATGTATGACACACTGTGTAACACATATGTGCTATGTATGACACACTGTGTAACACATATGTGCAATGTATGACACACTGTGTAACACATATGTGCTACGTATGACACACTGTGTAACATGTATGTGCTATGTATGACAACTGTGTAACACATATGTGCTATGTATGACACATTGTGTAACACATATGTGCTATGTATGACACACTGTGTAACATGTATGTGCTATGTATGACACATTGTGTAACACATATGTGCTATGTATGACACACTGTGTAACATGTATGTGCACTCTGTAACATGTATGTGCAATGTATGACACAATGTATAACACGTATGTGCTATGTATGACACAATGTGTAACACATATGTGCTACGTATGACACACTGTGTAACACATATGTGCTACGTATGACACACTGTGTAACATGTATGTGCTATGTATGACACATTGTGTAACACATATGTGCTATGTATGACACACTGTGTAACATGTATGTGCTATGTATGACACATTGTGTAACACATATGTGCTACGTATGACACACTGTGTAACATGTATGTGCTATGTATGACACATTGTGTAACACATATGTGCTATGTATGACACACTGTGTAACATGTATGTGCACTCTGTAACATGTATGTGCAATGTATGACACAATGTGTAACACGTATGTGCTATGTATGACACACTGTGTAACTCACATGTGCTATGTATGACACATTGTGTAACACATATGTGCTATGTATGACACACTGTGTAACATGTATGTGCTATGTATGACACACTGTGTAACACATATGTGCTACGTATGACACACTGTGTAACATGTATGTGCAATGTATGACACACTGTGTAACATGTATGTGCTATGTATGACACACTGTGTAACACATATGTGCTACGTATGACACACTGTGTAACATGTATGTGCAATGTATGACACACTGTGTAACACATATGTGCTATGTATGACACACTGTGTAACATGTATGTGCTATGTATGACACACTGTGTAACACATATGTGCTACGTATGACACACTGTGTAACATGTATGTGCAATGTATGACACACTGTGTAACACATATGTGCTATGTATGACACACTGTGTAACATGTATGTGCTATGTATGACACACTGTGTAACACATATGTGCTATGTATGACACACTGTGTAACACGTATGTGCTATGTATGACACAATGTATAACACACATGTGCTATCTATGACACACTGTGTAACATGTATGTGATATGTATGATATGTATGTGCTATGTATGACACACCTTTCAATATGTTTAAGGACCCTTTATTTCACATTCATTACTTTTTCTAATTTCCCCATCTTCGTATTATCAATCTTTCACTGTCCATATGTAACACCCTCCAGTCTCACTCAATAAAACATTGCCGGTCAGATTTAGTACTTACTTGAAATTTAAGTTCTTAAATGAGAAATGTACTTCCACTATTCCAGTGGTCTTCACTCTTGTTCTCAGGATGTCCTGCTCTGTTGGCATGTAATCCTTTTGTCCTAGGCGATCTAAATCATCTAAAAAGCTGAAAGAATACGAGAAATACTTGAATATAATATTCAAAACATAACATTAACCAACAATATATATTTATGCATACTATGCATTAGAAAGTCATGTTCATTATTAAAAACCCTATGTATGCTCAATGTTCAATCTGTTTGAATTATAAAATGCTTCAATCGCATTTGAATTAAAAACAAGGCATTAACATTTCACCACCTGCCATTTGTTACTGACCACTTCTGGTGGTGACATAAAAATAAAAATAAAATAAAAAAGAGATATATGAAGATGTAATGTTTCCAGACAAAAAGGTTTAAATAAATAGAGCAAATACTAAAACAAGGGCCATGATGTTCAAATAAGAGGCGAAATCGACTCTTGCCACAAAGTCTGTGTATCATATAGAATTCAATGAATATATCAGTTTTACATTAGCCCTTGTTAAAAGACAATTATCTTGATGTGAAAACATTCATAAAGTTATATAAACAGTGAAAGAAGGTTCATCATATCCTTAAATTAGAAAAGTTCTAAAAATAGACTTTGGAAAAATAGACACGGTTGCCAAAAGAATTTGGAGAATCTTATGATAAACAATAACAAAATATCATAATTTTCTCTACAAGGAATCAGAGATTTCACATAACTTAAATCTGCATTAGTCTGTCTATAGTTATCAGGTAAAACAAGTAAAGTGCAATACATTTGTAAGTAGAACACATCTTTAAGTAGAACACTTTGCTTTGAATTAACTTAATCTATGTAAGTGGAACACCATCCAATATAAAACACATTGTTGAGGGTACCAAATGTGTTCCACTTATAAGTAGGTTTTACTGTATATCTTAAATTAAAGTCTCAGGTTTTACTGTATATCTTAAATTAAAGTCTCAGGTTTTACTGTATATCTTAAATTAAAGTCTCAGGTTTTACTGTATATCTTAAATTAAAGTCTCAGGTTTTACTGTATATCTTAAATTAAAGTCTCAGGTTTAACTGTATATCTAAAATTAAAGTCCCATTGCAAATGTGATGATGTTGTAAATGGGAGTAAGAGTGGAAACTATAACAAACATGAATTATCTTTTCCTAATCAAGGTCATATAAGTGTTTTTATCAGATTAACCACTCACCACAAGTATGTAGCATAAACAAAATACAAGGTGTCCATTAGGTCTCTTTAGAATCACAATACAAATTCCATGTAAAGTGTTAAGAGACATCATGGACACCCTGTATATCACATTGTAGTAAGGATTTAATATTACTTGAGGCCAATTTATACTGTCAATCTGTAAGCTGAGTTCTATCAACTTGAACACTTGTACTTTCTTTTTAAATTCAAAATTTAAGCAGGCAAAGTAAGGGGAGAAAACATTCTGGGAAATGTATTTCACCTATAGGGTCACATACTGAGTGACACCATGCACAAACAAGTACAAAAGTCATCCTTCTAATCATATTTTTGAAATTCAGTCAATACATACTGCATTAAAAAGTATTTTTCAAATTAAGAGGGGGAATGACATCTCATTATACCATGGCATTGTCTTCGCGAAAAATATTAATGGACCTTGTCAGTTAGAAACAAAATGGAGAATTCAAAATTTTGTAAAAACACAATTACTAATGGTTCATAGGCCATTACAACTTATGGCCTATGATTTATGTTCAATGAACTATGGGCTTTTTCCTCTTTTTCACTCTGGGATACATCTCAGAGATGTGTTTCAGAATTACATGGTTAATGAACTGTTGCCAGTCACGTAGATGATTTTACTTGCCATTCATGAAGACCAAAAGTTCCATCTAGATATTTTAATGTTTCAATATATGTGCACTTTTATTATAATTTTATAGAGCCATTCTGAGTATAAAGTCCAATATAGACTACAATTATCTATAACAGCTGAACTGATGATAAGTTTAATTATTTTATACATTAAGTATATTGACTTTTGTATTACATGTGTGTTTTAAAATGTTGCAAATTGTGCATTCCTCTCGAATCCTCATAAATGCTTTATACTTGACACAGTAAAATTGATGTATTCAGCAGAATTATTGAGTTAATGAGTGTTACCAATGAACTTAGTATTTTGCAGAGTCATCCTTGCACAATTGCTATACTTGCAGAATAAACTTACTATTTAGCGGAGTCATTGAGTTGATACTCGTTGGACCTGCCGAAGCATTCCTGGACCCCGCTGTCAGTCCAGAGACGTTTCATAGCAGCAAGCAGCTCCTCTGAGAAAGGTTCTGTATCTTCCATTCTTGCGATCACATCCAGGACCATCTTGGCGTCAGACTGAAACATACCAAATAAGGTATTAAAGCCTTGCAGCAAATGCGATGACGATACATTGAACTTCAGTTAAACCTGGACATCCAAGTACCGCTCTAAGCCCAACACCTCTCAATGTCGCTTTTTCGATCTGTCATAGACAAATAATAGCAAAGGGTGCCAGTTTTGGAGACAGGGTTTATCTCAATCCCTGTGGTTTCTCTGGAGACACATTTCCCTCTAGATAAACCCTGTATCCAAAACCTCCAAATACATAACCTTTATATCTTTGCCAAGAACCTATACTTTAAAAACATGCCAAACCATAAACCAGGACAGTTTGGGCATCTAAAAGAATTGAATCGTGGATGGTCAATGTGAGAAACTTCACAATGCTTATTTCAATATACAGCACATGTACTTGGTATATACAATTTAGTTGAGACTCTGGGAAATCATGAATTATTTCAGTATTTCAACACAACAGTGTAATTTTCATGATATATTGTTATAACAAAACATAAAACAAAAGTCTTATTGCTAAAGTTCAGTGCAATGTTATGCCAAAGTACTATTTCACCCAGTATTTATTTTTTACATAGTAAAGTAAAACCTGTCGAAGTAGAACACCTTTGGTACCTCTTAAAAGTGTTCTATTTTAGAGGTGTTCCACTTTAAAGGTCTCACTGCTCTCAGATAAGAAATTACAAAGTTGACACTCTACCTAGTTGGGAAAAATAAAGTCAACTAAATCTATGTGATGTTTATGTTTATATGTTTGTCCCATTTTTATTGCCCACCCTGTATATGCAAGGTTAAGTTTACCATATGATAGTTAACCAGAAGCTTTGAAAACAAAGTGGATCCTCCTGTACGAGGACCCCTTTTCTAACCAATTGGGATTGATTTTAGACTCAGGATTTTAGATATGCTCAGAAACATATCTTAACTGGTTTAGGCTTCATTTATCAATGTTCTTCTGAGAAAATGAGGATTTCAGTAAGGGTGTATTGACTTAACATGTGGATATGCAACACTGACTTAACATGTGGATATGCAACACTGACTAAACATGGGGATATGCAACACTGACTTAACATGGGGATATGCAACACTGACTTAACATGGGGATGTCATCATATGACCATGCTATCATCATGGAATATCATTAAATCCTCATTATCTCAGAAAAGACATTGGCAAATTGAGTCTCAACCAGTAAAATTGTGTTACTGGGTATATGTACTTTCAATTCCAATTGGTTGCATTAGGAGTCCTTAAACACGAGGTTCTAGCTTAACCGAGGCCTTTCTAAAAATTTTGGTTAGCTCTATATGTGTCCACAGGGGCACAATCACAAATACTCCAATCAAGTTATTCATTATTACAACCACTCAGTCTGCGCATATTATACAACTATACCATATACAATACACTCTATGGAATAGAACAGAATATTATTAATGAATTACTGATATATTTGGAGTCCTCATCTCTTAGTGTTTTCCAGCATAATCTTCAAGCGATTCATATCAATATGCTGCATTTGTATGTTAAAGCATCTATCCCCACAACTTCTGTACCTCCCTCTCTCTGCATCCCCTGCGTGACCCCCCCCCCCCCCTTCTCCCTACAGCCCCTCTCCTCACATATCCCTGTACCTCCTTTTCTCCCTGCACCCCTTCCTGCCTATACTCCTTTCCCTTTCCCGCACCTTCCCTCTCCCTACACCCCTCTCTCTCTTCCTATACCCCCTCCCTCCCTCTGCACCTAAGCCCTATCCCTGCATTTCCCCCCACAGTTACAGTATATACTCGTATACAATGCCCCGTTCATACTTCACTAGACTAACGGAAATGTTACTAGCTTTGCATCAATCCATTGTATACTACACGCTATCACTTACAAGGTATGACTATGGAAACAGATAACGAGGGGGTGGGGTTATCTGAGTTAATGTCTACTAATGTTAAAACACTGTAGTAATTAATATGATACTATACTCTCTCACACTTCTGTCTATAGACTTACTATATATCACATTACTTGCATAATTGTTACAATAGCATGACTCCCATTTGTATAGGAACAACAATATGAAATATCACCATAGTGACTCGGGTACAACGAATCCACCCAAACAAAACACCATATCTTCATATCATATAATTTTCAATATGAATTGAAATGAATCTTCCATGCAAAACCCTGGAAATTCCAGTTGATATATTTCTAGAGCCACAATGCAATGCAAAATTGAGCGAGGCCCCAGATAGGCATTGAGCATAACACTCTGACTGTAGTCTACACTGTATGTTGAATTCAACGCCCACACACAGGAGAAAAATCAATAGCGAGATATTCCATGCCGGGAAGGCTCAGGTTGTTGGTAGCAATCAATATCATAATACAGTAGAGGAACCAGGACTGCAGGTTTACAATATCATGGTACAGTAGAGGAACCAGGACTGTAGGTTTACACTATCATAGTACACTAGAGGAACCAGGACTGTAGGTTTACAATATCATAATACAGTAAAGAAACCAGGCTTACAATATCATAGTACAGTAGAGAAACCAGGACTGTAGGTTTACACTGTCATAGTACAGTAAAGGAACCAGAACTGCAGGTTTACAATGTCATAGTACAGTAGAGGAACCAGGACTGCAGGTTTACACTATCTTAGTACAGTAGAGGAACCAGGACTGTAAGTTTACACTATCATAGTAAGTAGAGGAACCAAAACTGTAGGTTTACAATATCATAATACAGTAGAGGAACCAAGACTGCAGGTTTACAATATCATAGTACAGTAGAGGAACCAGGACTGCAGGTTTACAATATCATAGTACAGTAGAGGAACCAGGACTGTAGGTTTACAATATCATAGTACAGTAGAGGAACCAGGACTGTAGGTTTACACTATCATAGTACAGTAGAGGAACCAGGACTGTAAGTTTACACTATCATAGTAAGTAGAGGAACCAAAACTGTAGGTTTACAATATCATAATACAGTAGAGGAACCAGGACTGCAGGTTTACAATATCATAGTACGGTAGAGGAACCAGGACTGCAGGTTTACAATATCATAGCACAGTAGAGGAACCAGGACTGTAGATTTATAATATCATAGTACAGTAGAGGAACCAGGACTGTAGGTTTACAATATCATAATACAGTAGAGGAACTAGGACTGCAGGTTTACAATATCATAATACAGTAGAGGAACCAGGACTGTAGATTTACTTTCAAAGTACAGTAGAGGAACCACGACTGCAGGTTACAATAAAAAAGGAATAATATCATAATGTTTCATTATATATTTTTAAATAAAATTTTGTAACACATAAATTAATTATAACTTTTCCAACCACATGTATAACACATAAATTGTTACCCTTGAGGTAGACTGAATAAATTGTATACCTCTCCTGTAAAGGCTACATTGAAGCCAGGTACAATTTGTCTGGGGAATTTATATGAATGTAACTTCTTAATATAACCACTACAACTGTCAAAATGTGAGCTTAACAAAATGTGACATGGTTCTATAACTATGGATTCTCTTTCATGTTGTTGACTGTGTTTGTTAACCTTTGCTTGACCAATCAGACCAAGCATTATTTAGATTGGTTTACAACAATAGCTTAACATTTCTATTTTCCAGTGAAAGTATTTATAGAACTGTCTCTATACACACATGATATCTCTCTATTGATTGTGTATATATCCGGCTTAGATCTAATATTTATAAAAACATCTAACAAAATGACAAATGCATGAAACAATTATGTTAAAACAATGAATGTTATACTTGTGAGTGCAATTTATAAATAAATATGAAAAAGCAATTAATCAATCCATAAATGATACACTAGACTTGATCTGAACTAGTTATTACTATTCATTGATATGGAAAATAAAAATAAATACATAGCAAATATGAAGCCAATCCAGATTCAAGTTTTTGTCAATAAAGCGTCAACATGTTAATTCGACATTTATATCTAGATTTTCATTGTCAAATTTAATTCATGTATTAATAATTTTTTTCACCTACATGTTTTGCTACTATTTTCATATTGAATACTTAAAGTGGGATGCTCCCAATCAATTATTTTAAATGTTGCATGATCATGGATACAATATAACTTCCTTCTTAGTGAACATTTGGTTATCATTCTTAAGGTGAACCTTAGTAAAATAACAATCCAGCAATGAATGCTTAACTACAATGAATACCTTAATAAACAATAAACACCTCACTACAATGAACTCTTAACTACAATGGACACTTCACTATAATGAACAATAAACACTTAACTACAATGAACATTTTCCCACTGTGAACACCTCTCTACAATGAACCCCTAACTATAAAGAACACTTAACTACAATGAACACTTCACTACAATGAACACTGAAGTACAATGAACAACTTACTACAATGAACATTTTCCCACTGTGAACATCTCTCTACAATGAACCCCTAGCTATAATGAACACTTAACTATATTGAACACTTAACTGCAATGAACACTTCACTTCAATAAACACTTAACTACAGTGAACACCTAACTACAATGAACATTTTCCCACCGTGAACACCTCTCTACAATGAACCCCTAACTATAATGAACACTTAACTACACTGAACACTTAACTACAATGAACACTTAACTACAATGAAAACCTAACTACAATAAACAGTTTACCACCATGAACACCTCTCTACAATGAACCCCTAACTACAATGAACACTTAACTACATTGAACACTTAACTGCAATGAACACTTCACTACAATAAACACTTAACTACAATGAACATTTTCCCACCATGAACACCTCTCTACAATGAGCACTTAACTACATTGAACACTTAACTACAATGAACACTTCACTACAATGAACACTTCACTACAATGAACACTTAACTACAATGAACACCTAACTACAATGAACATTTTCCCACTGTGAACACCTCTCTACAATGAACATTTTCCTACCATAAACACCTCTC